TCTATTTCTATTTGTTTTATTTTGGTTCATTTCTTAAAATGTTTTTTTTTTTACAATTTCATCCTTATTAGGGTTTCTTCCTATTAAATTTAATTCTCATTTTTTTTTAGTTTGACAAATGTTTTAAATTTATATATTTTTTTTATAATTTTATCCTTTAATATTAAATTGATTGAGAATTAAGCATTTTGATTGAACTCAAGACTAGCATTTCATGAATTGTGAGTTTTTTATATTAAACCACACTTAGAGAGTTTGTGTTAGGTTTGCTTGGTTTTTTACTTTCCTTTATTTAAGCTAAATTATTTTTTTGCTTTCATCATTCAACATTTATTCAATTAGAGATTGAGTTATGTTTTTTTTTTTTGTATATTTTGTTATTGTCTTAAAATGACTTTACTTATCTCGAATTTTTTTATTTTTTATTCTTTGTTATTTTTTTTCTAATTCTTTAAATTAATATTTTTTCTAAATTTCATACTTCAGCATTTGAAATAACTTTTTTTACACTATTTATAAAATTAGAATTTTTTTTCAATCTCTTCCCCCTTTTCTTTTTTAATCTTTCAAAATTAGTTCACATTCTTTTTATTTCTATTTTCTTATTTGAGATAATTTTTTAATTTTATTTTTCATATATAATTTCATTCTTTTTAAGTATTTTTTTCCTATAAAATTTAATCATTGTTCTTTTTATTACTTTTTTTTTTGCTTTGCAGGATTTTGAAAAATGATATTTTTTTTGTTTGATTCCATTATTCAATATTAGATTGGTTGAAAATTATGTTTCTTGACTGATCCTGAATTTATGATTTTACAACCTATTAAATCCATTATTCAATCTTTCAAAACTATGTTTAAAATGTTCATCTGAGTTTATTTTTTTCCCCCTTTCTTTTAAGTTTGTGTTTTTCAAGTTTCATCATCCAATGTTTAATCAATTGAAGACTCGATTCTATTATTTTTATTTATTTTTTTGTATGATTAAAACTAATTTTGATAATGACTAGATTTTTCCCAAGTCTTTTTATTTGTTGTTATTTGTTGGATTTACTTTGGTTAATCAACATTAAAGTTTTGAGAATTAACTTCTTAATCCAACTTGTTTCAAGGATTTAATAGGTTGTAAATTTAAAGATCCTAACTCATGTTTAGAATGTTCACTTGAGTTTGCTTAGTTTTTTTTAAGTTGATACTTTTTTAATTTTATCATTCATCATTAACAATTATGCTCTACTTTTCTTTATCTGTTTTCTATATGATTTTTTATGAATTTTCAAAATAACTAGGGTCGTCTCGGATCTTTTTAGTTGATGTTTTTGTTAGGATTTATTTTGGAAAATAAACACCTTTTTTATTTTTTTTCTTTCATATATTAAACTATTATCCTACTAACGAAGTTGCATTCAATATGACAATAATTTTTAAAAAAATAATATCACATGTAAATCAAACACCTTTCTAATTTGTTTTTTCCATTATACAATAAGTTGTTATTCTACTAGCAGAGTTGTCTTTAAGGTAACCCGAGTTCATTTGATTTTTCTTTTTAAGTTGATATTTTTTTATTTTTATCATTCATCATTAACGATTAGGCTATATTTTTCTTTATTTGTTTCTTATATGATTTTTTTATGAATTTTCAAAATAACCAGGATCGTCTTAGGACTTTTTATTTGATGTTTTTGGTAGGATTTATTTTGAAAAATAAATACCTTTTAGATTCATTTTTCCTTTATATAATAAACTGATATCCTACTTGCGAAGTTACCTTCAAGGTAACAGTGCTTTTTAAAAAAATAATATACCATGTAAATCAAATATCTTTTTAATTTGCTTTTTCATTATGTAATAAGTTGTTATTCTATTAGTAAAGTTGCCTTTAAGGTGATAATATTTTTTTTATAAAAAATAATATACCATGTGAAATATTTGGCAATCGACTTATGGTGTGTGTGTGTGTGTGTGAGAGAGAGAGAGAGAGAGAGAGAGATCTAGATCTTAGGGCCAAAACATGTATTTTGAAATTCAAGATTGATTCTAAATCATTATCTTAAGTATAATGGTTTTTTAACTTGAAGAAAAATACATGTACTAGCTTAGACAAATTTTTAGCAAAAGCACAACAAATACCTTTATAATTAAAAGTAAACAACAATAACTAGTATGATTTTTTAGGGCTTCTCTTTAGCATAGTCAACCATTTATCTATAATTATGAAGACCAATTAGGATTTTTGATTACTATAAAATTAGATTATGATTTTTATTTTTAAATTTTACCCTATAAATATTAAAATAATTCTAGTTTTTTTATATGTTTTCTATGATAAAATAATAACTCCATTAAAAAAATTTAGGTTTTAGACTTTGTTTTCTTGTTTAAAAAATTATCCACTTGTTGTTCTTTTATATATATATATTTGTGAATTGAATATGTACGTGTACCATTGCACCTACTATACTCAACTTTCTTATGCCACCCCCACAAGCCAATATACCTAAAACAATTTAGGCGTGTCTGCACATACAAGGTAGGGGATGCCCAACCTAGCGATTATTCGATTTTAAATAAAATTATTTAAAATTAATTAATTAAACAAAATTTTATGATTTTTTAATACAATATTATTTAAATTTTACTTAGTTTATGAATAAGATTGCAATATTTTTATATTAGCAGACATTCTTTCTATGTAACCTAATTTATTTTTATTTTATTTTATTTTATTCAATGGCTTTGCTATGCAAGTTTTTTCTAAATTATTTTATTAAAAAAATTAATTTTTAGAAATAAAGTTATTAAGTAAAACTAGATTTATGATCCATGTTTCAAGACCAAATAAGAGCATAACAAATACCTTTATCATTAAAAGTAAGCAATAATATAATTTATATTATGCATGATATTTTAGGGTGATTGGATTATTTGTTTTTAGCATAATCAACCATTTATCTATAATTATAAAGACCAATTAGGTTTTTTAGTTACTATAAAATTAAATTATGACTTTCATTTTTAAATTTTACCCTATAAATCTTAAAATGATTCTAGTTTTCTAATATGTCCTCCTTGACAAAATAACAACTTCATTAAAAAAATTTAATAGGTTTTAGACTTTGTTTTCTTGTTTAAAATTTATCTACTTGTTGTTTCTACTTTTATGTTTTTCCCGGATTTAATATTTTATTTGTTTGTTTATATGTTTTCATTTTGTGGATTGGATATGGATTTATATCATAGCACCCACCATACTCAACTTTCACATGCCACCCACATAAACCAATATAGCTAAAAAAAATTAGTTATATGTGCACATAGGGTAGGGGGTGTCTGACCTAGCAGTTATTCAATTTTAAGTGAGATTATTTAAAATAAATTAATTAAATAAAGTTTTATGATGTTTTTTTTAATACAATATTAATTAAATTTTACTTAGTTTAGGAATAAGATTGCAATATTTTTATATTAATAGACATTCTTTCTATGTAACTCAACTTATTTTTATTTTATTTTATTTAATTGCTTTCTTATGCAAGTTTTTTTTAATATCATTTTATTAAATAAAAAATTAATTCTTAGAAATAAAATTATTAAATACAACTAAATTTATAATTTATGTTTCAAGATTAAATATCTATATCCAAATTTATTTTTTAACTTTTCAATTTAATCTTTGGTTAAATAACATTTAATTTTTACTTGATTTTCACTTAAGATGGTAACATTTTTTTTCCTTAAATTAGTAGGGTGTTTTTTTTTGTACAATCTTGCATAATATCTTTTTTTCCTTGGATTTTAAGAGAAAATTAATAAATAAAAGGATTATTATAAGATCATATATCTCGATGTACTTTTATTTCTTAATTTTTTTTTTATTATTAATATTTTTATTTATTTATTGACACATGTTAAATGCATATATTACCTTTTCAATCTGTATTTTTTCTGAGTCAACAAGCATGTTTAAAAAACCGTGAAAGCGGGATAGATAGCTAGTTACAAAACACTACCAACCAAGTATTCTGGAGCTATACCATTTTTCGTTTGTATCAATTTCTTATCAGTGCGGGATCCTACAAATTGACTAAAAGAGGCCAGCATCTCAGTTGGCTCCTAATTATATTTCCATGAAAAACCTTAACAACAACTTCGAGTCAAAGGGAGCTCCTACTGCTGCAATTCTAACAAGCAAATCATTAGCAAAATCTAACACCTCTCTAGAAGAGGAAATAATGGAGAAAGGATGATGAATGCAATCACCATTCAAGCCCCTACAGTTTACAGTGATCGATTGAGAACGTAGTCATACTGTCATCTCCTATTAAAAATGTTTGCATATCATAATTAGAAATAAGTTTAGGTCATATCTACCTGAGCATAAGTATCCCATGAACAACCCAAATGTACAAGTGATCCTGCAAGTTTCATGAAAAGTGAGAATTATTCTGGCAAACGCAAACTCTTGCAGGAAAAGTTCAAAACCAACTCAAAGTACATATTGCACAATAATAACAGATTGCTCCTCTGCATTGTACGACGCTCTTCTGTATCGC